CAAAAAACCGAACAAGAAAAATAGTTCATTAGTATATATATATATATGTTTTAAAGCTGCAGTCTAACCTGCCAATGTTGTCCCGAGCAATCTTTGTTCACACCCCCTAAAAACACTCTAGCAAAAATCGTCATTTTTACTTATAAGAACTATAAAAATATTTAGGTTTTCAAACTCACAAAGGGTACGCCTCACACAGGCCTCATGGTTCACACAGAATCCTATCGACCATCATCCATCATCAGGTCATCACCTTTATTAAGGGGATGTGGTCTCCAATGCCTCCAATCTCAAACCTTGTTGACCTTGTTGACCTTGAAGGGGGGATGGGGGGTTGATTACAGTAATCCCACGTGTGCATTATGCTGAGGACAGGTGCTGGAGCAATGCCTGCAGTCAATGGTTGCAGCAAAGGGGCTTTGGCAAGAAGACCTCCCATCGTCGAGTCCCCAAAGCAGCAAGCAGCAGATCCAAGTGGAACGGATGTGTATGATTGAATGGGGAAGCTAGTGCTGGTTCAAACCAACTCAATAGCAGAGATTTCAAGTTGGCTTACGGATGCCAAATTCCACCCTGAAGTCGTCGGATTTTTGAGGTTCTTGGGCTGGCTGTCGCTTGCTTCTCCCAATTACCGCAGGACAGCTTCTTTAGAGGTTTGCCACAGGTGCACAAGATTCTGGCGCAATCAGTTGGGGCTGTTTACACTGTACCTTCATAGGGCCGCGTGTCCCGTGTCAATCGGTTGTGCCGACAGGACTTTGAATCGTGGCCAGACGGCACTTGGAATCGCGGCCGGGGGCACCGGGGCGAGCATTCCGGTCGTGGGGTGGCCTGGAATTGAACGTGCAAAGCGGTTGGAATTTGTCTCTACACTGAAACAATTTATATCAGCCGATGGTTCTCTAAAGCAATCCAGTTTCATCAAAGATTCTTTAAGTCTGACATGTATGCATCATAAGGCAAATCATGGCACATCGCACCTCAGAACACTTGCTCACCCCGTCATGTTTGTCCAGACGATATTAGCTGCAAACATGCAATCAGCTGCAGACCAAGGCCGAAGAGAATGCCACATTGCCAGAAGAGCAAGTACCAGTAGGGGGGAACAGGCACGACAGAAGTAGACTAAGCATCAAAAGAGAACTCAACAGAGGCACTACTTTCCACGGTGACACACTGCAATCACATGGACCATATCCAGTTACAAGAGATGTAACATATGTTACAAGAGAGCACATTGGCATCCAGGAACAAGATATGTGTCAGGCATGCCCATTGGGAAGCCCCGTTCCAATACAGATGCAAATTGCGCTGTCAATCCTTGGCACTGCGGTGCTGAATTTTCCAGAGGCCTGCACTCAAGTTGCAATGTACACTATTCAGTCTTGGACTAGAGCTTCATGCAGTTCCACCGCCCAAAATCAAATTTGCAAATGGAATGGTAAGGTGCATGAAGCTCATGCATTGAATTTGCAGAGGTTTGGAGGCTGCACAATCCATAGAAGCCAAGCAGGGGTTTTCAACCAATTGCGCTATCACTATGGATCCCGGACTGAGTCCCCTCAAACTTGCAATTTGTCACAGTTGACCTCTGCACATCAACTACACATGTGAGGCTAAAATCAACTTGTTTTCTCTAATATGTTTGGATATCCAAGTAAGTGCCACAAACGATGCAATGTGCCTTTTGTTTTGCAGGGTATTGTGAGCGTAGACGTGGGATTTCAATGAGACAAAATCTGGATGGCAGCAGCCAATGCACAGTCGCTGCAACCACTTTGTCTGGTGGCGTCTGGGTGTCTTCCAAGCACTGCAGCCGTTATGTACTATGTTTGACGATCTAGAAAAGGGATTGTCCTGGGAACGGGACGATCGGTCAGCAGCTGGGGGAGGGGGCGCTGTGCTACGATCCTGAGAGAGGTGTGAACAATTCATAATGCTTTGACTGCCCTCAAAAAAATGGGCACAGTTGGCACTGTTAAGTACAACTTACCACCCTCACCTGTTTCAAGAACGTGCAATGCAGCTGATACTGCCGAAAGCTCACGATTTGCAAGGGAGGGTGTCCATCATTTGCAGGGCTTTTAGACATCCCCACTTGGGCACACTTGTTTTTTTTCAACAAACATCGCTAGCACATCCCCATTCAACATATGTAGATGCACCAAGATTTTGGTCGGACGAACCCCACAGCATCAGTTGGTCTTCCACCAACCAACCCGGCCATGCGGGTGCTCCCATGCACGCTCTGGGACCGTGCTGGGCACTGCCTGTGCTGCTTACACTGCCGGTATGCGAAGCCTTTGTGGTGAGCTTTCCTGTGGGCTTCACTGAGGACTACGGGTTGGGAGAAAGCATAGCTTCCATAGCTCGAGGTCTTTATCATGCATAGGAAAGAGGCACTGCCTTCAGATGAAGAAACACGTGTGGCGGGCTCTGAATAAGGAGGGCATCCTGAGTATGAAGGCAGAACAATAGGTTCCCGACACAGACATTGATGTGCTTCCCCTTCTAAAGGGCTTAGACTCGGAAACACAACCTGTTGGGACCTCTGAATTCTGAATCAAGCTCTGGTGTATGTATTTCCTAGAAACCTTTGGACCTCCACCGCATGTGAGCTGGATGTCCAGGATGAGCAAGACGTCCAGGAGATCCAATGGCAGCCCTTCAGCCGACCAGCTGAGTCCCTGGTGGCGGAGCTGCAAGCCAAAGTCGGGGGCCAAGGTGCGGATCGCCACACGATCGCGTCGTGGAACGCTTCCGAACGAAGAGTAGCGATCGGACGCTACGAACGGGGCGCTCCTGGCATTACTACTAGGAACTAGAGGACGCTACTAGGGGCTCCTGGGCATCGCTACGAACGGAGCAAGGATATTACGAACGTAGAAATTTTGGCGGCGTGACATATGGACAGAGGTTTGTTGGATTCGCAGCAAAGATTTTCGCCGCCTGCTTGTTGTTGCGTTGGTTGTGCTTTCGATGGCAGGACTTCGGATGCATTTGGGATCTGGTTCTGATCAAATGGCAATTCCCATTGTCAGTGGCAAGGATTTTCTCATTATCAGCCTCTTGGGCTTTGACAAGCGTGTTAGCAAGAAAAGAGCCAGGTGCAGCAAAAGAACACAAGATGGATCAAAAAGGAACATTCAAAGGACCTGAATCTCCAACCCTTTTGCCCATGCATTCTTTTCGAATAATCCAGTTTGATGCCATATTTTTGCACTCCTCACCAAGCATCTCTCAGGAGAGGCAGTGGGCCCCGCACTCTTGGTGCCATGGGATCAATTGGCCGGTGAACTCCACATGCTTCTGGCGAACTTCCGCCCTGACCGGGCCCTCGAGGTCGAACTGGCCCCCTACCGGCCCTCGAGCAAAGCGCAGGTCGTGGGAGGCTTTCTGTGCTTTGGCTCCGACTGGAGAGTTTGGGCACCGACATTTTTTGCACCCGCGCCTTGAGGATTTGATAGAATCTTCTCCGGCACTTAGCCCTGTGGCCCAGGCTTCAGTCTCCAAACACGATCGTTTGGCGATTTCTGCCCAAGACGATCGAGGAGAGCTGGGAGACTTCGTGACCCATTGCCGTGGCTCAAGTACACAGCAAACTAGAAATTCTTTGCCCTGGCCGACTTGTATTACCTTGATCTCAAGGAGTCTTGTAGAAAGATTCGTCATATTCTTCACAACAACCTCTACTTCGCAAGTGGATAGGGAGCCCTAGTTCATCGAATTATGATGAATGATGAATTATGCTATACGTGGCTGCGTGGCGATACCGTATCCACTCGCTTCCCGCACACAGCTTTGGTTGTTTGAAGAAACTGTGCCACGGTCCGCAGGATGTCTGGCACCACTTCCAGGACTTCCGCCTCCACGTTCTCCTGCACCAGCTATCCGACTGGGATCCTCATCTTTGGCGAAAGCACTTGGGAGTGGCCTTCCCCGTCTTTGGTGGTCTCCACTGGTGCGGATCTGTGATTTGGCAAACTCCACAGGGGTCTTCACTGTGGTCTTCCATGAGCTCCAAAAAGGGCCTTCAGTGGACTCGCCAGTACTTTCAAGGAAGGGCCTACTGTAGGTCGATGCCATGGTAGCAAAAAAAACACATGCCAGTGCTTTCATGAAGGCTCGCTGGCCTGATAAGGTGAATCGATACCCTGGATTCAACCGGCAGCTTGCTGAATCGCGGAAGAGCGACAACTACTTCAACAAGATCTTCATGATGCTTGCCATCGCTGAACACCAAGGCTTTGAATGGATAGTATCAGCCGCTAGATTCAATTTTGCCTGATGATTTGCTTGTTAATGGCACTCATTATACAAGTGGCTGTTCAATCTTGTTCACCTGTGTTTCCGAGTTTGCCAGAATAGAAGTGGTCTGGACATGGCCTTGACTGAATATGACCAGAATGGCCCATGGCGAGGTTGATGACGATGTATTCTTGCCGCCCTTTTCATTCATGTCGTTGGTGAGAAGCGGGCCAATGGCCGACAAGCGTGGCTGTGGAGTGGTCTTGCCATTGACTCAGAACGGCATCCCTTCAACAGAGACTTTTGCGCGTCATTGGCTTTCTGAGACTTGGCTTCATTGGAAACAAAGCATCGTAGTAGGCCGGCAAACCTGTCACAAGGACTGGTCATGGAGCAAGCAGAGCCCCCAGGATATTAGAAGTGGCAACTACCACTCGATGTAAATACTCAAGCCAACAAAGACTTTGGCTTGGTGCACTTGTCCCAAAAATGAAGGACACCCACCCAGTTGGCCATTTGCCTATTAGCTTCAAGGACATGCACCAAAAGAAGTGGTTGAAAAGGGAAGGACTTCTGAAACATGTAAAGTATGTATAAGGATGTATAAGGTTTCAACACTATGCCCTGATTCTGTGTGTCTCCTGGATCTAGCCATTGAATCACAGTTTTTGGTTCAAAGTCAGACTATAACATGCTTGCAATCAGCTATAGTAGTCTTGTCATGTCCCATCTCCCTTCTCCCTTCTTTGCTTTGGAGGCACCCGACCGTGGGCAGCTCTTCCGTTGCTTTTCACAGAGCTCAGGGCAGTTCTGCCGCGACGGCAGCCTGATGCACTGCTGCCGCGGTGGAGAGGCGGTAGACGCGAAAGAGATTCCGGCGGTGCCCATCCCGGAACCTTGGAACGAGGTGGAGTGGTACAACTCAGTGGCTGAGCGCTTTGAGTTGAGGTGGTGGAAGAATCACCCGGTCTCTGGGAATTTGACCTGTATGATTTTGGCGCTGAACCTGGCGCTGAAGGGTTTGGACCAGAAATGGTTTCGTCCCATTTGGGATGTGGATAGTTTAGTGGTGGATCGGGAACTCAAGTATCCTTACTTTGCGAACAATGTCTTCCTGATGCGGACCGACCGCTACGTGCGAGTGATCGAGCATCCAGACTGCTGCCATGGGACCGATGAACGGATGATGAACCAACTGCTCAGGGAAGAGAAAGCGCCGTTGTGCTTCGAGACACAAAGCTTTGGGATTCATCCTGCTTGGGGCAACTTCGGTCAGACTATGAAGAACACCGTGGAAAGCCAGACCGTCTCACTGCTGCAGGATTTGTTCCCTGCGGAATGGTTTGCAAAGAGGCAGTGGGATGGGGGCAATCTATCTATATGTGATGTACAGATGTACGGTGGTTGTATAGACATATAAACACATCCGCTGCACACAGTTTACTGGTGATATGGCTTGGAATTGATTACGTGGTTGCTTTAACAGGTCCCTCACAATGGAAACTGTTTGAAATTCACAGGGTTTGTTCATCTGTTCCACAAGGGATTTCGTTCTTGCGTGAAGAGGCCTCAAGAGATGAACGCTCGTCTTGGAGAGGCCACTGTGACTTGTGAGAAAGTAGATTCACCCCAAGAACGGATATGGGTTCGAGGGCCTCAATCAATGGACATGGGTCATCCTTGGCTCAAACGCAAGCACTGAGCCTGGCAACTTAGGTGAAATGATGAATGGCTAGTATTGGCTAGTGGGGTAAGGAGCACGATGCGCTTTTTCGAGCGTTCAAGCTACTCAAGTACTGCAGGTTAGCCAGATGAAAGACTTTTTCTTTAGCCAACAGTGATCGAAATGTTGACCAAAGCTTCAAGACTTAGGCGCCAGACTCCTAGTCACATCGTTCGCACTCACCTAGGACTCACCTAGGTCACCAACAACTCGGTGAAGTGATGTAGAATGTCTCTTTGCTTTCTCCGCAAATGCCATGTTTGCTCCGAAATCCATTCCTTTTGGCCGCCGCGGGTCGCCGCCGGGTCGCCATGCTGGCGTCCCGGTCCGAGCGACTGCGGCGGGAGCGGAAAGCGGATGAGAAGGTGGAGAGGTCGGTCGGCCGGAAGAGATGGTTTGTCCACAAGATGCAGATAGGAATGCAATCATCCAAAAAACCATTTCCCTGCTGGCCTCACACAATACTTACTGTAGGAAGATTCAATGAAGGCATTCATTTTTCTTATGATCATGTCGAGTGCCCTTTTCCATGCTATGGTGGTAGAAAGCAGGTGCAAAGACATGTGGCATTGCTGTCCCGCTGTAGTCTAACATGTCTGAATTGAACATACCCGTTCCTACAAGTTGTGTGATCTCGTACAGACTCGTATAATGACCAAGGCCGCAAACCACGCCAGTGCTGTCTCAAAGCCTAAGGTTCAATCGCATGATGGACCTGTGTGCATCAGCCGAAGACCTCCACGGGACTGAACGCATTTTCCAGAGACTGGTGACACTTGGCCTCCGACTTCTTTGGAAACTCCATTTTGGAGTGAGAGCAAGTAGATAGGTAAATCAATCATTCCATTCAGTGGCATTTCTGGCTGCCACTGTGGGTCCGTTGTTCGTCTGATACAGCAAAGGAGGGACAAGCAAGAGCCCAATGACCTGAGCTTGGCCCTACTTGTGGCCGCCAGTGCGGAGGCACGAGAGATCGTGCGAGCTGAAATGTGGTTGCGGAGGCCGGCGCACAAAGGGCAACACGAGTTAGTTTTTGTGGCAAAATCGTGTAGATTCCAATGAAAGGATCCTCACAAGAATTGAACATAGTCAACTCTTTAAAACCTATCAGTGCCTGTCCGAGTACGGTTTTGTGCCTTTCCTATTCCTTTCATGTTGCCGTCTGGGAGCTCTTCTCCTTGGCTTTGTAGACCGAGCGGGAAGTTCGGCGAAGATGTCGGGTTTGAGGGAAGTTCGACGTAGGGACATGAGTGAAACTGAGTGCCCTGACAGGTTCATGCGGGCGAAATTGGGCGAGATTCGTCAACACCCCAGGGTCACTCGGAGCTTGATAGCTGCCGGTGCCAGGCACAGTTGACAGTGATTGACTCAGTTAATGACCTACACCAACGAATGTAGGGTTGGACCTGGACCTTTAATGGATCATTGTTTTTTGAACTTGCAATTCACTTCCTACCGGATAGGAGCATGGTGGAGGAGGAGGAGGATTCGAGCGCTGTGCGGCGCTTTTCCTCCTTAGTAGCTACATCAAAGGGGGATTTGGATGATACCAAGTTGCAGAAGCTTGAGGAAAGCTTTGCAGCTGCTTTGAAGGAATGCCAGCCTATGAGCTCAGTGACCAAGCATTTGTATGAGGAGCTTCTACAATGCTTGGCTGGCCTGGGGAAGAAGGCGCAGATTCAATCCAGGTTGCAAGAGATGGCGAAGCTGGGAGTCCCGGCCAACACTCTCACGTACGGAATTATTGTCAATGCTTTGCGCCCCACGGAGCAAGACTTGTTGTTCGCGAGCCAACTCTTTCAGCAAGTTGAGGACGGACTCGGAGGGTTGTTGGGGACTTCATGGGACCGTGAAGCACAACGCCCCCTAAGTCTTTAACTTTGCTGCCTCACCTTTTGCATTGCTCTGCAGTAATTATAGGATTTCTGACCTTTATTGGGACTTCGCACGCTCCTTCTTGTCAATGTTGGATCTTTTGTGGCTCACATGAAACAGGTTTGTTTTGTTTAATTGAAAATGTGGAGCAAAGATTACCACAGATTCCTGCAACACAATCAGGGAGTGAAGTGATGGCTGGGGATGCTTGTGTCCAAATAGGACCTGACCGTCCCGCACTGAAGAGGAGAGTGGGTTGATGCCCTCGCTGCCTCTTTTCAACGCCATGTTGAAGGTCTGCGCACGGGCGGCGGATCTGGACCGCGCCAAGAGCGGCACGACGCACAGTGTGTGTGTGTGTTTTTACTTTATGCAATTTTCTTTTCTTTTTTCGGGCCATTTGGAAGAGAACTTGAATATCATGTATTTGTTCCCCAAATAGCTGAAAGCTATAGGGCCATTTAGATCCATTGACGGTCTTACTTTTCTTCTAATTGTAGTCTTCCCCTTTGATTCCATCACATTGCATTGCTCGCGGGATCCGATTGGCGGCCAAATGACCGCACAAGTGCGCCACAAGAGCTGTAGCCTACAACTTGCAACTGCGTTTTTGGAACCACCAAGTCGTACTGTATTGCATTGTACTCCTCCATCCTGGTCTTTTCATTTAGTAAGCACTGTATTCCATTCAAATAAGCACTGGCCGGATAGCAGCCAGTGGGAAGTGCCCAAACCAAAGTGTCAGAACGTGACCTCGATGCAACTCATCAGTTTGTTATATGTTTGCCACCCAGGTTGGTTCCAAAAGATCTACGACGCTTCACTGCAACCGAACATCCTCTCCTTCAATAACCTTCTGGGTGCCTGCACGATGTTCGGAAGCGTCTCTGAAGCGCGGGCCGTTTTGGAGAGGATGACGAAAGCGCAGGTGGACTCGGGCGAAAACTCCAAAGGCTTTGTGTTGTTCCTTGCTCACAAGCCAAAGGCTTTCAACAAAGGCAACCAGTGAAACTCATTCCCGAACCACTTTACCTCCCACCAAAAAAAGGGGTCGCCCTGAACATGGGTGATTCGAGCACTCCCCGTGCCCAGGTGAGCCCTGACAGCTTCAGCTACCTCTGGATGATCAAGGTCTCCGGTCGTCGAGGCATTGGGAGGTACTGCGGGAGGCAGTGCGATTGCACCGAAGTGGAGATGCAAGAATCAATAGATTTGCTATGGCGGCAAAGCCAGCAAGCTGTATTCATACAAGACCAATTTTTTGGAACTCAAGCCAAGGGTTTCTTGGGGATAATGCTCACGGCTCACCACAGCAAGCAGACATGCTGACAAGCAGAGATCCTAGCGACAGAAGAATATAAAAAGCAAACACAAAGATGCCTGACTGGGTACCTGCAGTTATGTCTTTCTCGTATGAGAGACGTCTACCGTCTACAAGACTTTCATCTCTCATAATCAACAACTCGTGGTTTGCTTTTTTCCACCTCCATCCGGTTCTCTCCAACCCCAGGTGGAAAGGCTGCAGAGGCGTGTCTTGAGGAAGCTCGACACCAGGAGCTCAAGCTGGATACAGGGATGTACAACGCGGTGTTCCGCGCCTACTTGGCAGAAGAGGAGACACCAGAGACGCCCAAGAATGTGAAGAGGCTCTTTGAGCAGATGGAACTGGATGAAATCCGGGCTGATGGGATGTCCTTGTCCTCTTTGGCATATGCATATGCAATGCAAAATGAGGCCAGGTTCGCTGAGGGTTGTTGCGACATACACTGGTTGGTTTGGTAGTGTTGATGTTAGTCGTGGTGGTGGTATCAAATTCGGATTTCTCAGCAAAACAACTTTTTCGGAGATCATTGCTGGACTTGATTTTAGGTGGAACGCGCAGAGGATTTGATCTTCCAGGCACGCCGAGAGAGCGGTCGACAGCGGCCTGAATTCTTCGCCTGCTTGCTCTTCGCCTATGCGAGGTGCCAGGGGCAAACGGATTTCTGAGGGTTGCAGATTCCACATTTGACCATTGTTCATCTCCCCACTTCTCAAACAGCGAGTCTGATCATTTCTCCCACAGCTTTTTCGGGCCTCCGGCACCATCGCCTTCCCCAGGAAGCGCGGCAGCCGGAGCCGGAAGGCGGAGCGGGCCTTCCGAGACCTCGTGGACAGCGGCCTGGCGCCGACGCCGGCGATGCTGCGGTACCTCCGGATGGCCATGCCAACGGAGGCAGAGCAGCTAATGGCTGAGCTAGGCGTGAGTGAGAAAAGTGTGTGTGTGGGGGGGGGGGAAGAGCTGGTGAAACCGATTGCTTGAAGTGGTAAGACCTATGTTTGACTTGACCTCAGGACTTGCCAAGGAAGGCTTTGAAGTATCACACGTCCGTGTCAGTGGAACCACTGCAACAAAAAAAAGTACGAAGATGTCCAACAGTTGGGACCTCCAGCACCGCACATCTAGGCCTCTTTCCTGAAAGAAACTGGTGTGTACAGGCTACAGGCCTATATGTCTTAGATCCATCTCTGTCAGTGTTTCCCTATAGAACTTGGCTGCGACGCACGCTGGGATTTACGGCTGCAGCCTTCGGTGCGCCGCACCCGATCTCTACGACTGCCGGCTGTTCGCCTGGAACTCAGACGGTCGAAGAAGCCCGGTGTGGATGGAGCAGAGAATGGGTCCGAAGTAGCCCGGATAGATCGAAATAGAGCGACAGGGCTAGAGTGTCTAATAAGATCAAACAAGTCCGAATATTTCCCACACAAACACATCACCTATTGCCAGATTACAATCCACTTTTGGCAACAAGAAAAGCATCCGAAGGACAGGACGATCAGAA